AACTTCCTGGCTTATTTGTTTATCTAGACTGATAAATCAGCGGAACGAATCTAATCAGTAATGATGAGTGCTCCTAAACTCCGCTAAACTTAAACCAGATATCCATATTTAGAGTATTTGATTAGAAAGGGGGTAAATAGATATATTTAGCAAAAATGATATGAAGCGAATATTGGGATCATTTTTCTTATCATAATCATTACAAATATCATAATTATCATAATAGATAAGCGACGAATAAGTCTAAAACTGAATAAAATTCTTCGTATTTTAACAGCACTTATCATTTCTAGTTTGGTTAACTTCACTGGCTGATAGGAATCGTCGCTCTTTCGTCATACAGTCAAAAGATATTAGCAACAATTTCCAGTTTTTCGTTCAATCATTAAACCATATTCGATAATTTTATATTAACGAAATGTCATCCTTAAAAACTTTTCAGTAAAAATGCAAAAAAAAATAGATTAATTAAATTGTGGACAACACTCTTCCGAGTTCATTTCCGAATTCATGATAAAGCAGTGATAATCAGTGATTTCCATCTTTTAAAATGCCTAAATTTAAGATCTGAAATGAATGAAGTAAATCAAATCCTAACCTTTGACATTTCATTTATTAAAAGAAAAATTCGGTCGTGTAGGATACGAATCAATCGAGATTTTACAAATTTGGTTGGCTCGCGTTGGTAGAGAAACAACGTTTTTTTTGTCACCTCTTGACCTCATTAAAAGAAAATATGACCCTATCGCTGTTCATAATCTAATTTACATGTATATAAATTTTGATTTGGAAAATATCTAATTTCATTAAATTGGCTATATTGCAGATGAAAAGTTAAAAAAATCGCCTAAATTTCTTCCTGGCTCGTGAATGCGCACATACATGTATATTCCTTGTTTCTTCTTCCAACAGTACTCAACACTTCTAGTTTGGCTGGTTTCACTGGCTAATATGTTTTATTCCAAGGAAGAAAAGTCAAACCTATAGTGATTTGATCTAAGCCGAAGCAATCATATATATTGTCCTAACCATCCTGTCCTAGCATACATTCATTTGTCCTGTCCTAGCATACACTCCATCGTCCTGTCCTACCATACGCTCCATTGTCCTGTCCTGCCATACACTCGATTTTCCTGTCCTACGGAGCAATAAATTTAACCAATATCCTCACAAAAAAAGAAAAAACAACATAGTAAAAAAAATATTTTGATAGAGAATAACAAATGATAACTATTCTTTGCATCACAACTAGTTTAATTTCCAAAAGTTCAGATGGACTTCCATTATACTTATTTGACTTTGAAAATTTTAAAATAAGGTTTCAAAAAAATATTTGATAATATTTCAAAACCGACGGACTAACAAAGCTTCGTCGAACAATGTCGTCGTTTGGCAAAATAAGATTGAAATGGATTGTTGCAAAGGAGCGTCGAGGCTGAGGTTCCAACGTCAGGCGAACCTGAATTCTTCAAAAATCCATACGATACTGGCGGCTCATTTGTGCTTCTATTCCCCGATAGTCACCGATAATGGTGAGCATTCTAGAAATAGACAAAAGAAATTTTGACTGATTGAAATCGAAACAACTCGTGCAATTCGTTTAAAAAATTCCGATTTCAAACTTAAGCTTAAACGATAGACGCTAGGAAAAGAGGTTTTTTCAGGATTCTTGGAAATACCTTATCAGTCTTTTGCAATCAGCATAACCAGTCTATCCAGTGTAAACTGCCAGATGAAAATTTTTTCGTACAAAAATGATGGATTTTTTTTTCGCTTTAAAAAATTTTTTTATTAAATTGGATAGGCAAATATTGGCTTTTTTTGGCTTTAAAAAAGGCCTATAGGCCTTAAAAAAAATTCCATGCTGCTTCTTTTTTATTTTGCTTTTTTGTTTGCTTTAATTTTTCTTGATTTTAGGCGATTTACAAAAGAACTATCGTATCTCAATTGTAGATAATTTTAAATTATGAAAAATTACCACAAAATTTTATCATTTTTCTTTTATTTTAAATAATGATAAGAAATAGCGAAATTTGATTTCTTTCGCTCTTTTTTGATAATCAATTAATTCTCGTTATCTATCTATCACATTTCTTCGGCTCGGGTCATAGGTTAAGCAATCATTTAGCGAAATTTTTGAGAAATTTAATAAAAATTCTATTTTCTGAAGACCAATACGCATAAATAAAGAATACGAACGAATCGATTGCTCTCTCCTTTGATAATCGTTAATGTTTGCTGTTAAATTGAGCAACTGCCAATGAACAATAATACCTATCACAACCACTACGCTTATGTGATATACTGGAATTCATACGAAATTCTTTTTGTGATATACTATTTTTTGTACTTGGAAAAGAATGTTGAGAGGTTGAACGAGTAATTTTTAGCTGAGGTCCTACTCCGCGAAGAGGTAAACCTGTCAAAAAATCCGAGTGACACTCGCATCTCACTTGTACTTCCTATCGTCAAGTAACTCCCTGTCATATTTGTCCAGTGCGATTAGCCAGCGCAAGCGTGTCTAATCAGTAATGGTGAGGATCTTCAAAGAAGAGAATTTCTGAAATATTCTAAAATTTTAAAATATTACGCTGGGATTTCGTAGAATATGTTATGGCACTTCCTAGGAAGGAAGGAAGGTTCGTAGAAAAATTCTTCAACGACCACTAATCTAAATAGAAAATGTTCTTTAATGATTTAAATTTATTTCGACATTTACCGGATATTTTCATCAGCGCATAAACTACATCTTTCCAGGAATCTTCAAGTTGACTTATTTCCCAACGATATCTCCAAGCAGTGATTTCTTCCAATTTCAAATCTTTCTGCCTAACAGCTTTTCTTTTTTCTTGCAAAAAAACCCAAAGACAAATTATTTGTGGTGAAAAAAAATTAATAATTTATTCGAAATGATAAGAGTAAAACCTGAAATTTTTTCGCACTAATCCTTATAAATCTTCAAATTCAGCGACGAATATTTGTTTTATAACTTTTTTTTTTGGCTATTTTGAATATAAAAAAATTTTTTACGTTCTATATTTGGTATTTAGATTTTAGATTTCATTTTTTTAATTTATCATTCTTATGAATGAAAAATTTTCATATTTTCTATTTATAATAATATTGATAAAAAGAAAATAGCAAAAAATTATCAGCATAACTATCAATTTCTATAAATTTAGCACTTTTCCAATTTTTTATATCACAAACTTACAACAAATAATAAGTGAAGTGATTTTTTTTTATTTTCATAATTTGGAAGAATCAATATAAGCAAACTTAAAATTTCAGCCATTTTAAATAGTAACTGGTAAAACTCAATTCAAGTTTCTTCTCATGAAAATTATAAAAGAAAGAAGCAGTGAATAGCAGATGCACTGGAATAAGTACCATGTTCACCACATTATAAACTAAGAGAACCTATATTCTTATATTCATTCATTCCAACATTGACAAAAATTAGTTAATTTTCATTTCATGTTGAATGTTTTACAGAAGCGATGCAGAAAAATTTTCTGCTTTTTATAATAAATAGCATAAAATGAAGGAATCATTGCAGCATTGATTAAACACATAGAAAACAATACAACTAATCACCATCATCGAATACAATCTTTTTTGGCTTAATATTGCTCAAATTTTTCATCAATAATTTTTGACGCTTTTTAGCTGCCCATGAAGGATGAAGATTATCAAGATTATCATATGTTTCATCTGTCGAATCTGATCCTGAAATTCAATAATTATAAGCATAATTAATACGAAAAATGAAAAAAAAAAAACAAAAAAAGAAAAACTGGCTTATTTGATAAATGAAGCTCGCAATAAAAACTTTTTAAAAAAATGAGAAACCCTAAGAATCCGATTAATAAACTTGTTTATGATTGAGATTAATAACATAACGACTACAATAAAACGATATTTCAAAAATCAAGTATGTTTTTTTATAATCTAATGGTCGTTAATGGAAAAGAATGATGATTTAAACTAATTGAACTACTATCACCATAACCTTCTTCCACCCTTTGCAATTATTATTCCTAGCTTGGCTAATTTTTCTGATTGCCATCGGAAAACTAGATAGTCCTTCGGATTCACCATGAATTTCTCTAGGACCAACCAAAACGTTCTGCCTACTAGCCTACTATCATAGCCATAGCCAGCAATTATAGCTTTTCTTAATATAAAATATATTACTGGCCGATCGAAAATAATACCTGGTTTTGCACTTTCATTCTGCTGTCCTTTTTTATTTACACATTTGTTATCGAAATGAGAGTTTTTCTTTTCCACCAATATTTTGCCATTTTTGATGAATTTCTTACTTTCCTCACAAATTGCTTCTATTTTCTTATTTTTCAAATTTAAATCTTGTTCACCTCCAATTTCGGAATTCGTCGCACAATCAGCATTTTTATCAAGACTTGCAGGAAATGTACCTTCGCATTGAGGAATAACAGGGATGGAATCACCAATAGATGGCGCAAGCTCCACATATTCAGAATCTGCTGAGCTCAAATCAATTTTTTGTATCACAGCCTGCAAATTAAGAAAAAACATGGTCAATAATTTCTACACTTATAATATACAAAAAAACAATACATAAAAAGTACTCTGAAATAATGATTGATTGAAACAATGAATGATTGCAAATTTACGCGAAATTTAAACTTAAATAAAAAATTAAAAAGGCCTTACACTTCCCTTCAAAATATTCACCACAGGTGGTTTTGGTAAATCTTTTATTGGTGTAATGAGTATTGGCATATTGGCTTTTTCTTGCTTTCGTTTTTTCATTAGCAATTTTCCTTTCTTACTAAGAGCTGATTTAATCTTCTTGTTCACTAGAGCTGTTATTTCAGAAGCGCTTTTTGAAGAAGAACTGGCGAAATTTTCAACATTCTGAAGCAAATTATTTTGCAAAATTTGATCATATTTTTCATTAAATATCATTTTTCCATAATTTTTTGGCACAAATAACAAATGAAAATATTAAAATATTATAAAAAATATATTTGAATAATAAATATAAAACGAAAAATGATTGGCTTTTTCTGAAATATTATACTGGAAAAAAATATAAAGCGATCCAAACAGTCCTTCCCTATCCATATTTCTTTCCTCACCTTTTGTTCTTCCGCTGCCTCAGACTGTAATAATAAATTCTTCTTCTTTTTTTTCTGATATTGCAAGCCGAGCCTCTGTAAAATATATGGTATTTCCATATGCCATTCGGGATACTGGGATCGAAAAGCGTTGACATTTTCACAAATTATCTTTTCCACGCTAAGTTTATACAATATTCGTTGCTGAGGCAGCGTATCACCCTTTAAAATTTAATTAATTATAGCATTCTTCAATAATTGATCATTAATTTATTAAAACTGAAAAATACATTAAAGAAAAAATCACCTACAAAAGGCAAAAAATTATTTCAGGAAAATATGGAACTAAACAAAAAATTTTAGAAACTCTACCCGTATATTTAATTGCGACAATGTTTTTAAATTGAGCAAAGCAAATTTTGAAACATCGTCTCGTTGAATTCTCTGAAAAAAAATTTCCATCTGTAGATTTTTGACTAATTCAGAGTGACCAAAAAAATGAGAAGAAAAAAATTTTTCTCCTAGATATTTGAAGTTATTTTTGAAGTTTTGATATTTTTTGAAGTTTTTTTAAAAAATTCATAACAATTGAATTTTCACTAGAAATGAAAATAAAATTTTTTCAAAATTTTTCCATTTTTTCAAATTTTTCCAAATTTTTCATTTTATTTTGTTTCATACAGACTTATTTCAAATAATATAATTTAATAAAAAGCAAAACAAAATTTTAAAAAAATTTTTTTTTTGCTTCTAATTCATTAAAAATTATATTATATAAAAACTTAAATTTTTTAAAATTTCTTCCTTAAAATAAATACCTTGCAAGCTTTTAGTTCATCCATTAAACGTTTTGCTTTCCGTTGTTTTTTCTCACTATCGAACATTTTCAGTTTTCGTATTTGCCGTATGAGATGGCGACTCAATCGGACACGTGCTTTTTCAACGATTTTTCTCATTCGAACAATCTAAATTCTCTAGTTTTTTGTAAAATTAGAAATAAGTTCACTTTCATAAGGATGTAATTTTTTGTCACAAAGTGCCTTTTAAAATGAATAAATCCTTCATGAAAGCTTCCAGTGAGCTACTTATTCGTCCTTCCCAAAGTCAATGATTTTCTGTTTGCAGTTCTCCTTTTTCGCCATTTTACAGGAAAAATTTTAAATCTTTTTCCCTTAAACCACGGTGTGGATGCGATATAGAACTTTTCATATCCTTCACATATTCCATCAATAATTGCTAAAAATTACATAATTTCCATATGTTCCTATCTGATGCCACTTTGTCACTTACTTTATAACCCACTTACCACTTCGTTACCTATTTTCTATAATAAGTTCACAATAATTATTCTTCAGAATAAAAATTATCGTTCATTTATGAATAATATGAGTAATTAAATATTTAAAATTAAAAGCTTACCTGTTCATTAAGTTTTGCAGCAGTTAATGTATTCATATATCAAGAAATTCTGTAAAAAATAACGAAAAACATATACGTATTTTTGTATTTTCATGAAAGTAATAAAAAGATTAATAAAATACAAAATTAAAAATATAAAAAGATGTAATGCCTTCAATGCATTGAATTAAAAATTTAAAAAAAAAGAATAAGTACAAATTTTATTCATGAAAAACTGCTCCAGAATCAAATAAAGATACACCACAAGATGGGATCGAAATAGAAAAAGGATACTTAGGAGGTATAGCATTCGGCAAATTGGACAAACTTTCGACTGTACGATCCGGTTTAGTATAATCATAAAGAAACAAGCCAGGCAACCTGAAAAGAAATTTCTTCAAGAAATATTTTTTAGAATCATGTTGCTATCAACTATTTCTACAATATATCTTAGAATTGACACAGGTGGTCAACCAACCAAACTTCAGCTAGTTCACCAGCACATTTACTATGAAGTAAAAGTCCACATAACGATCATGACTTAATATAATATATGTTATAGCAATCTATGGTCATTAAAAAAATCAAATAACAAAAATTAGAACTATTTTAAAGGCATTTCTTTTTTTTAAAAGCCCTAACCATTACTGGTTAAATTTGCTCTGACGGCTTGTGGCGCTAGACAAATATGCCAAGGAATCTCTCAGCGACAAAAATATAGATGAGTCGCCAGTACCCCTGGATTTTCGGACAGGTTTGCTCCTGCGGGGAATAGGACTTCAGCATTGGAATTGAGCAACGACCCACTGAGCCATTCTATTCCCCTCCCCTCATTCCCGGAGCACTTTAGAGATGAAAGATTTCTAGAATAAACAATGAACCTTTTGCATTGTTCCTCATAAACTAAACATAAATCAGCGAATTGCTCGACGCCCAACTGAAACGATGCTTGTTTAGGACTAATTCTGCAACGTGAAAGTAATTCATGAGCCAATTCATCGGAAATTTCTTTTGGATAAAGAGTCTTAATACACTTAAAAACATATTTTCGACGATAAATAAACACATGTCGACAAAGTTTTTCCACCAGCTGAAAATAAAAAATTCCTTTTCGTAATTATAGTAATAAAAGAAATATTAAGTATTCATAAAATTTTCTGCTTTATATAATCAAAATAAATCCACTAAAAAATAAAATTTCCACCTAATAATACTATTATCAATAATATTAAAAATTTTCCATCATTAGAAAAGTCGAAATTTTTTTTCCATTTCGCAAAAGAAATTTTTAAAAGTCGGAAAATTCAATGAGATCTAAAGCAGAATAAAAAACGATAAAAAATTACGTCAAAGTCGCACTCAATTAAAGGTTCTTTACGCGGAATAAATTTCACTACACCAACATCGACTTTGGGTTTTGGCACAAAACAACAGCCTGCAAAATATGAACTGAACGATAAGCTCGACAGCTCTTTTTTAACAGCTCTTTTAGTATTTTCCCATGGCTAAAAAGTCAATATCATTATCAACAGTTGATTAGGCACAGTTAAGGTTCTAAGCATCGACTTTAGTCAATAAAAACAAAGAGAAAAAGAAAAGTAACAGAGCAAAAGACATAACGGACAATCAAAATTATTTGCATAACTCAGCTTATTCCTTAACATTTTGTCAAAAACGTTCTCTTTAAACTGTCGACGATGGCATCAGACCGCGCCGCTTGGAAGCGTCTTATCTTTGTAGCCGTTGGAGCCAGCCTAACCAGTAATGGTGAGAGGTGTTAGAAGAAAAAAAAACATTATCTTGGCAAAGAATACTGCAGAGTTTGAAAGAATATTTAAGAAGATCAAAGCTTTAAAGAATTATAAATGGTTCTAATGAAAATTGTCAAAATGTCAAAAAACGGTGTAATGGTGTCTTAAGGAGTTTAATAGTAAATGAGGTCCTTAAGTACATACATAGTGATCACGTATAGCAAAAGACAAATTATAAAATAACGCCAAAAATTAAAATTTTAATTTCTTTTAATCATTTAAATATTCTCTTATAAAATTTCACTTTGGTGAGGAGTACAACCAGTCTTAGAAAAATAAAAAACCAGACTTAGAAAGAACAGAATAACCAAGAATAACCAGATCTAAGAAGTAGAGGGAAGTAGATGATTCTAAGGAGAACTGCAAAGAATTTTAACAAAATTTGCCAAGATTTTGGAGAAAATTTTTTTTCTTTCTTATCTGAACAGAAAACAAATATATACTCACATAATAAATATAAAAATATTATACAGTCAAAAATCCACCGGAACAACAAAATAAAGTATACATCGATACGTCTCGAATGATGCTAGCGACTCACTTGTACTTTTATCGCAAAGGGATATTTCCCTGGCATATTTATCTAATCAGATAAGCCAGCGGACCCAGTCTAATCGATGGTGGTGAATGCACTTAAAATATATATATATACTATATATTTATATATATTAAATATACTATATATCTAAAATTTATAAAAATACCAGGTATTTTAAACAATAATTTTGGTTCAGTGATAAAATTTGACATTATGGAAATCCTTGAACAATCATCCGAATCAATTAACCCAATTAAACGACGTGCAACTTCCATTTGAAATGTTAAAGTAAGAGGTACTCTTCCAAAATACCACGGACCTGATCGATGATGCATTTCACGAAGAAATCTACAATAATAAATAATATATTATTGCTAAATTCGACAAATTTATCGCTAATTATAATCTTTCAATATAAATCAAAAATATTTTAGAGAAAATTTTAAAATACTTAATAATAAGAGGAGTAGCAATATTGAAAGGAAGATTTCCAATGATATGTAATGCTGGTGGTGCAGTAAGCCAATCAACTCGAGAAACATTTGCTTTTGTCCAGAGATCTTTTATATTCATTTTTAAAATATCACCATGATGTATATGTAATCGCTCATCGCTTATTTCTCCTAATAACTGAAAATTTTTATAATAAATTATAAAATTCATATAAAAAAAAAAAAAGATAAAATCGAAAAAAGGGAAAAAAAATTTTTTAAAACCAAATTTATAAATAACGATGAGGAAGAAAACAAACACGTAACGCTGGTAGAAATCGTTGATCCACCTCAATAACATCCAATCTTTGGCAATCGGTTTCAAGTAAAGCACGAGTTATACCACCAGGTCCAGGACCAACCTCAATAACAAAATCATTTTTCGCAATTTCAGCTTTTCGAACAATCTGCAGTTCAAATATGTGAATAATTCAACGACCTTAATAAAGATCTTTCAATTTCTCAATTTCTCAATTCTCAAAAATTTGCTAAATTTTTTAAAAATAAACTAAAATTTTAAAAATAAAAAACAAACTAAATTTTTTTTTTTTCGTCCAAATTTTTTCTAGTAAAAATCAGAAAAATTATAGTAAACCTTTCTCGTAAGGTTCATATCCATGAGAAAATTTTGAGAAAGTAATTTTTTTGCGCGAATATTATACATATAAATAAAATCACGTAAAGCTGGTAACGGTGGAAGACGAGAAAAATTTTTCGCCATAATTTCAGTAATTTACATATACGTATAATTCCGTATTTGTAACGATTAAATTTAATCTCTCAATGATTTATTTAAATCCATAATTCCAGGGATTCCGAGAGTAAGCAATCCTTAAATGAATCAAATTTGCTTTTTTCTGATCAAATTATTGTGTTTTTAATGTAAAATGTAGGCTTAACGACAAATAACGAAATTCCAAAAACAAACAGATCAAGGAAGGATTTTTTTTATTCATTATTCCTTTTCGTACAAAAATATTAATTCGAGAACAAAATCCTATTATAAATCCACCTTTCAGCAAAAATTCTACAATTCAAAAAATAAAGAAATAATAAATGAAATAAATTTTTCATTCACAACATTGCTTAAAATTTCACAGATGCTTAAGTTATCTAGCTAGAATTTTATTTTAAACAAGTTCTTAAGCCTATAATTCCTATAAAATATCCACTCAGTGCCATGTTCTCAGTATTCCAATTCAATCTAAAATAAGATCTATAGTAAAATAAAAATTGATTTTTTCAGCTGAAAATTATCAATCATTTATCGAACAAAATTTTAATAAGCAAAAAAATAGGCTCATTTTCCCAGAGTTTTTAATGGTATTATTAAAGAAACACATATTTTGAGGTGTAAAAAAACCAGTCAAAAGAACACAAAAAAATTAAAAAATATTAATGTTAAGTTAAATATAATATTGTTACAATAATATTACTAATATCATTAAAATATTAAAATTAATCTATATGAAAATCAGGTAAATGATTTAAATGTGATAACCATAAGTATGGGAGACATTAAAAAATTTTTGTGATGAGGAAAATGAAAAAATATTTGCAAATTCCCTTCTTTTTTTATAGCCAAATAAAACTTCACAATTGTTATTGACCTTATTTCATTATATTTGTTTAATTTGTCGCTGAGATGGACCAAACTGTTCAAGCTCTTCTTTAATAATATCGACAAATTCTTCATAGGCCCTTTGTAAATCATCGTTTACAATGATGAAATCGAATAAGTCTGGCTGCGCACAAACTAAATTAAGTTAAATTTTTTAAGAAAAAATTTCATTTTGGAATGTGGCAATTATTCGGAAAATGGAAAATTAAAACAAGTAATTAAGTAACAAGTAATTTCATAATTACCTGCATCAAGATCTTCTTTGGCTTGATTAAGGCGCTTCTGTAATGTCTCTTCAGTTTCAGTCTTTCTCTGTCGTAAGCGATCTTCCTGAAGTCTGAATTCTCTCTACTTTTTGATAATTGAAAGCCATCTAAGCGAATTCTTAAAAACCTATACAAATTTTAAAAAATGAAATTTTCACACAAAATGAGAATAATAAAACAAATCTATAAATCTAAATCTTAATAAAATTCGGTTGAATAAATACCAAATAATGCATAACCGAAATCCCTCCACCCCCATGTTATGATCGATCTTTTCAATAATAATTTTACTAAAAAAAAACATTCTGGCATAGTTCAGTAAAAATATAGGTTTAAACCTTTTAAAAATGGGAAATCAATAAAAAGAACGTAAATATACAATTATCTGTAAATCAGGTGCTCTTATAAGAATATATTTTGCATTTAGGCCAAACTTGCGAATGTTTTTAACACCATTCAACTCAACATCCAATACACATATACGACCAGTTTTTTGAACAGCTTCAATGGCTTTTTTGCTAAAAATCGCATTTTTCAGAAAAATATAAATGAATAATTGCAAATAAATATATATTTATTTATTAAACTGTAAATACCGAATGCCCACAGCACCACTAAGTATTCAAGGAAAAAAGCAATTCGAACAGCAAATAATAATAGCCAAATTCAACTGGTGACTTGCTTTTTTATTATTAAAAGTTCAGAAAATACAATGGTTTTCCTTAAGGTCTTATAGCGCCAAATATAATCTAATTTATAAAAATTTTATAAATTTATAAAATTTGACTGAGAGTTTATAATCTGTTTATCTTTACTTTTCATTATAAAAATTTTGAAAAAAACATTAGTTACCTTGTTCCATAAAAATTTCCACTGAATACCGCATATTCGATAAATTCTTCATTAGCTATCATTTTCTCGAAGGACGCTTTATCAATGAACCAATAATGTATACCATTTTGTTCACCAATTCTTGGCGCCCGAGTTGTATCTAAAACGGACTGAAAGGTAATAATCTGTTATTCTTTATTTTCTTTGAAATAATTTGAAGCAAAAATTTAGAAAATAAAAAATTTTTTCATAAATTTCTACGATGAGTATTTCATTTAGAAAATTCTTTTTTTTTTACATATATTTTTAAACAAAGATGTGAATAAAAACGAACGAGAAACGCTGAACGCGAATCGATCAGGATAATTTTCCATAGCCTTTTTTAAAATTGTACTTTTTCCTCCACCCGATGGACCGGACAATATGATTGGACGAGTATTGAACGACATCAATAAAGCTTGATAAAAAAAAGCAAAAAAATTAACGAGAAATTAAAAAAAGACGATAGCTAGCTTTTGAACGCAAAAAAAAATTTTAGTAGCGATTATTTTTAACAGCAAAACCACAAAAACAATTGTTATATAACTAATCTAAGAAAACTAATATAAGAAATTCTAGTAAGAAAATAAATAAAATCTTTAAGCATTTTTAAGGCAGTTGATAAAAATTAGAATACCAATAGCAAATTACTGCTTCATATTGATGAACTGAAATAAAAATTGGAATTCTTAAATTCTTAGTTTAATATCAATATCCATTAGTGATATTAAGCTTTTTTAAAATGATGAATATTTCAATTCGTTCAATTTAACGCTAAGAAAGACTATTTAAAAATCACTATTCGAATGCATTAAATCTTATAAGCAAATATCGCTAATTAAAATGCTATTGAAAATGAATTATTTATCGAATTTTTATTATTTTTATCATCAAATATTTAACGTGAAAGTAAGTTTAGTGATAAGAAAAATAAGAAAAAATTATATTTTAATACTTCACTTTTTAAAGAAATCACTGCCATGCATATTGAAACTCTATGCAAAATCTATTATTAATTAGCCTTAACCGATTCAAAGTACAATTATAACATTGTAATCATTTTGAAAACTATCAAAATATCAAAACTATCAATAATTTTACAGATATATTTAAGGATTAGAAGTGTAGATATAATCCACTGTGAAAATATTCCAGATGATCATAAAAATAATCCTAGAGATCATGAATATATTCCGGAAGGTCATGAAAATATTTGTAATACTGCCACCCAAATTTATTTTAAATTTATTGTGCAATATTTATAGTAAATTCAAAAATCTAGAACTTTTTTCTCACTTTTTACGTTTCCTCTTCCATAATTTTTCATCTAATTCCTGTATCAATTCCTCCGCTCTTGCTAAAAATTCTTCCATTTTTATTTTTTAGAAAACTCTTATTATTTTCAGTAAACCGTAAAAATATTCCGGAAAGTCATAAAAATAATTCTGAAGATCATAAAAATATTTCGCATGAACTTTAAATACATTCTAACAATTAATGAAAAAAATATGGGACAAATGAAAAAGAAAAAGCAGCAAAATCAATATTAATAATTCAATAAATCTTCGCCTAATTGATATAATAAATATTTATCTAATTAATATCAACTGTGATAACAAATAAACAATACAACTAGTTCAATGGGAAGTAATGTATATTATTAGATTTATTAGTGATACTCTATTTGATAGTTCTCTATTTGATAGTTCTTTCACCATTTGATAGTTCTCAGATTATCTGATACACATTCATTCACTAGACTATTTTTTGCTGAGGAACTAGCAGGGCGAAGAGAAAAATATAAAGCGCTACTATTAAAAATGTGAAATGGATAAACAGGTAAACTAAATAATAGAAAAAAAGAATACCCTATAGGCGAGAAAATCAAATAGAATTGTTAAAGGGAAATAATATGGAATGAACTCAAATAAAAGATTAGCAAGATGAAAGAAAGAATATACTTCTATAAATTTTGATTTTTTAAGATGAATGACCTAGCTTTGCATTCGATAACCGAAAAGAACTCATAAATCATAAAATCTAATAAATTAAACGTTGCACAGAGTTATTCACTGATAATTTTTAATCCTTTTTTTTTAAAAAATTTTTTTCTTTAATAAATTAAAAATCAATTATAAAAATTAATTAAAATTATGATTATAAAAATTAATTAAAATTGTAAAATTATTAATTTTAAAATTTCACCTTAATAAAACATTCCAAAAAAAACCAACCTTGAAAAGTTTTAATAAAAGTACTGCGAAGAGGAATATGGAAAAATGGAAATAACATACATATGAGGAATTACTATCGAAAAGTTCTTTTATTTTAGTCTATATAAATGAATGTTTGAGATCGAATTCTTTTTCAAATAAAACCCCGAAAAGGTCGAAAAAATTTCCCATCAAATTTATTTTCAACATATCTGAAAAGTTGAATATATTAAAATGCAAGTTAAAAATAATTTCAATTTTTAACTTAAAAATTTTTGAATAAGAAATTTTAATGAAATAAAATTGAAATTTATCAATTCTTTGCCGGTTGAGGAAAAGCTTTAAAGGGGTTTCTGAAATCACTAAATTCGACCGCTAATTAGATAAAAGAATTCATTTAGGACAGTGTTCATGTTAAATGAATTTTTGAATGCCTCAAATTTAAGTTCATACAAGCAAATATCTCGGATCTCGAAAATATCTTTAAATATCTCGGATCCACTTTAATTCTAAATGGCTATGCGAAAATTACAACCTGGATAATGGAAGCTAATGTCTTTCGATTGATCAAATCTTTATGGACTTGTCGCGAAATCACTATAAAAACGAAAGCCCGCGTCTATATGGTTGCAATTTGCTCGATTTTGCTATATGGCTGTGAGCCTTGGCCATTGAGAGTGGAGAATATTAAGAATCAATTTTTGACCATTTTTGACCACTCATGATGCGTTTAATTTGCATATTACGTATCCACTGAGCGAATAAGATTGCACATCCACTCTCGCTCAAATATCACTTGTATTAATATCAGTACCACCACAGAACGGCGTCTTCGCTGGTTACAGGATATTCTTCATCGCCTATGGCAGGAGCTGGAGAATACTTGCTAGGCCTTTTGAAGGCTGGCATCATGGTCCAGTGACGTGGTCCAATGAAGACCTGGACTTTCATACCTATTTTACAATTTTGAAATATAAATTATAAATTCAATATATAATAAAATTGAATATATTTTCTAATATATAACAAGAAAATATTTGAATGTATGGGTCGACCAGCGATATAAGACAGGTGGAAAAAGTAATGGCTTCTAATATTGTCAGCGATAGCGTTGAACCAAACAGCCTGGAAATATCTTATTCTTATAGCCAGCGAAGGTAGCCTAACCAGTAATGATGAGAGCTGTTAGAAGAAAAAGTCGAAAAACCATAAAAAATAAAAAATTATTATAAATTATAGGATTATAAAATTAACATTGAAATTAAAAACAATAAAAAATTAAAAATTAAAAACAATAAAAAATTATTTCTGTCTTATTATATGAAATTGCTGATTTTATTGGTTCTATTGATATTAAATTAAGAACCTTTCACTAGAGGTCCTTTCACTTGGATCAAGTAGTAGAACTTTAATTCTAATGGAACCAGACATAAGAGAGAGAAAGATTCAGTAGTCGGACTTAAATTCTAATGGAACCAGATATGAGAAAGAGAAAGAAAAAAGCTTGCCAATGCCAGCTTGCCAACTGAGAAGGGAACAGAGAAATAACTTCCCAAAAACCTTAAGTACCATTCAAAATACGGTGACCAAGATTTTTTAATTAAATAATGGGTCTTTAAACGAAATAGCCTTTTGCAGCCTCATATTAAATTTAAAATTCAAATTGCCGGTTAATGCTCAGTAAACGGTGGGATCGAATAGCCGACACACTTCAGTTAAAAACAATAACATTGGAAGAAGAATATAAACTGGAGTAAAGTAAAGAAGACTGAAAAAATGATACTGGATTATGAATATAGGCTTTATATCGTATAATCACCTCAAATATCGAAAGCCCTGTGAACAAGACTCGATTGTCTAGCCTATCTTTTCAAAAATTTTAACGCATAATTAAGTTTTACCATCAAAGTGCACTCATAAGTCTCTTCCACCTGGTTTCCCTAATGCCTCATCAAATTTAAAAGGATTTCAGGCTAGGACCACACGATTCCAATAGACAATTATGAAAATTTAGATGCAAGAATAACATGGCAAGAATAACATGTTGAAAAAATATAAGAAAATATAGTAAAAAAAATTTAATAAATGAGTTTTGACGGGTTATTAGAGAGAAGCATAAACATGTGCGTTTGGCGTATACCATTTATTTTAGATTTCGAGCTGTTAGAGATGGATATCTTGTATATTAAAACGAATGTTTTAAACTGGTATTTTTATCAAATTTTTTTATTAAAAAATAAATGGTTTTTGATTTTTTAATGATTTGGTTAATGGTTTTTTGTAAAAGGATTGTTTGACGGGTGATTTGTTTCAGTTTATCGGAATAAATTTATGTTTTTTTTCTATTTTCAAATAAATTAATTAGTAAATTTTTTTTTCTTTTTTTTGCAGAAAAATAAACGCTATTTTAAATGCAAAAAAATTTTAAAAATTTTTATTTATAGAATACGAATGGATGAAACTTCGATCGCATGTGAAGGTATTATTTCTTTTTGTTTTCTCTTCGATTCCTTTTTTTTTTGTTTTTTATCGATTTTTTTCTTTATATTATTGATTAAATTCGGTTAAATTAGCTTAAATTGGCTGTTTATGCAGTGAGAAATTTTTTTCTAGAAAATCACTTGTGAATTGAAAAATACAAATAGATTCTCGCAGAATTTTCCGAGTTCATTAATATTAGACTTAGGCCTAAACTTAGGATTTACTCGTACTACAAGCTAAAGCCAAAATATAGATGATAATAAATGATAATGGTAATTTAATCAACATCCGTCCTTTTTTTTGTTAACTAAAAAAATGCCTACATCATTCGCATTATTATTTTATATTGATGAAAAATTAGAAATGTTCTTTTGAAGGAGGAGAGAAAATAAAGAAAATAAAAAGCAGCTTAATAGAAGTTTGAAAACTTTTTGAGTTCAAACTTGATGAAAATAAGGTAATAGAAATTAATACTTATGCATTAATCGTATTTGTATGCCTAAGTGAGTCTATGGTAGAAGATATATTATTTTATGTTACTGAAGATATATTACTGAAGTAATTAGAGACTCCAGTCAAAGCAGAAGAAAAAAAAGAAAATAATGGTACAGAGATAAATCATTTCATTTCTTACTGCGATTTATTGAAACAACTATAAATAGTACAGTTAACTAGTAGGTATTTTTTCTTATTTAATAATAATTATAATAATTATTTATAATTATTTATGTAATAATCATTTAATAATTATAATTGTTAAGTAAATCTAAATTTGAGAAAATATTGTTATAATTAATAATTATTTTTAGGTTCTAATTTAATTTGGATTACTTAGTCAATCTATTTTTATAATTTATTTTATATCATTATTAATTATTAATGAATAATAAAGATGTCATTATTAATAGGAATTATTTTAATTAGAAACTATTATATATAATTAATTTGCAAGAGAAAAAATGTTCATGAAAAAGATGTTATCGTTATCAGAGACTCTCTTTTTTGTTTTTTTCATTTTTGCCTTTTTTCTTCTTTTTATAATTAATGTTAATATATTATTTACATTTAATTAAGAAATAAAATTATTTGAGTTAATTGCTTAATGTAGAAGAAAGATCGAAAATAAATAAAAAATTCAAATTATATTTGAAATTCAGAAAATTATTTTTCACATTTCCACATTTTCTCATTTAATCCACTTTTCTTTAAACATTTTTATTATAAGTAATTTCTATTTGAAATTGGAAGTTATATTAATCTTAAAGATTATGCAGATTGGTTAATTTTTCTTTCACTATTAATTCTTTTTTCACTAAAAATCTAATATAATTTTTAATTATTTTTTAAATTTTCTCACCGAATTTTTTTTCACTTGTTTTTATACATTTTAATTTTATTTGATGTTGTAATCTAATATTTATGATTTTATAATTTTCAAGTTCAGTAATATTTTCTCAAATTTAGATTTACGATATTTTGAGAGGCGTTTAACTGAAGTTATACATCATATGCAGCCTGTCGCGATGAGATGGCGTGGTTCGTTATTTTTCTTTTCAAAAAAATCAAGATTGCACTATAAATTTCATATTTTCATGTTTTTTTTTCTTAGAATTATGTGATTTTTTATTTTTTCAGTAGCAAATTTATTTATTTATTTACTTTATCTGTTGCATTTCTGCACGTCCTAAGATTTTTTACTATCATTGGTTCTTAATGTGTAGCATTTAGTAATAATAGTCATTCGCAATTTTGAAAAAAATTTCGCATTCACGAAAAATTTTTATTTATATGAGAATATTCATATAACTATCCCTTCGAAAATAAATATTGAAAATTCATTGTAAGGAAAGATGATTGGTTTGCAAAATTTGATGTTTTCTGATGAAAAATTGAGCAAAATATAAAAATTAATCTACAATTTATGAAATTATTTTAGTTGTTCTGCTTATTGCATTTGGTTGTACATTATGGAGTGCTTATTTTTGGCTAATGGATCCTTCAATTCGTTCAGTATGTTTTTTTGTTTCTTTTTTACATATTATTTTTTATTTAATTGATTGTTTTTTGAACCTTTTTTTCCAGCTGCACGGACATCTTTTGTAATTTTTATTTTATATATAATTTTTACATTATTCAAAATATGAAAAAGATTTATTCTTAATTTTTAGTTCAATAACCAAAAAGTATAAGATTGTAAATGGGGTCAGGACAAAGTTCAAAGGGGAAGAGAGGAGGGAAATGCATAAAAAGCTTTGATATATATTACATATGGATATATATTACATATGGAATGTTAAAAGATCGTTACCTTTATGATAATGGAGATCTTAATGGTCTTGAACATAATGGTCTTTGATATATTCAGAAAATATATTTATATAAAGAGGTGACAGGTAATTTTTGATCTTTAGCACACTTGTGATTTTAGTCCGGTGGAGAATAACCGTTTTACAGACGATATGCACACAGATCTTACGGTTTACGGTCGAATATTCTTAATCTAGTGCTCTAGTCTCTAGAGGGGCAAGATAAATAAATAGTGTTTTAGATCGCGTTAAGAAAAATAGCTTCGATTTTTCCACAAGGATAAATCTATTATAAAAAAGCCGAGTGATGCTTGCATCAATTTATATCGTCAAATAACTCCCGAACAAAAATTTTAACCATACTGATGGCCGGATCTACTCTAATGGTAAACACTGAGTGCTTATTTCTTACATACCTTTGTCTTTAGATCTTTCATCAGTAGAGTTTCTTCAATGCATTTCTTGCATATCACTTGTTGCATATTCTAAATTAAAGTGCGCAATGAAAACTGCTGTCCTTCATGTTTCTCAGAAATATTTGACTTTGCCTAGTGTATTTTCCGCTTTTCTTTTGTTAGGGGAGAGGATTTGAGAGGGAATATAATGAGGTTTAAGAGAGTACGAAGAAAGTTACGGGAAAAGTTTTAAAGGATTTTGATGATAGAAAACAAGGTCGTTCTTGCATAGTTTAAAGATTCTATTTTCTGGTGGCATACTAATACCATCTTTGAAGTAGTGCTATTTATTCTTCGATAGAAATCACAAAAGAAGGACTTAATCCAAATATTGCAGGTTACTTTGACGGAATCATTGCAAAAACATTTTATGTTTTCCGCTAGCGTTCCTTCGCTTTTGTTCTTATTTGGTTATCTAGGTATACATAATCGAGTTGTCGCACCTACAATGTAAGTTTTCATTTACCATTAATTATACATTTATCACTTATCATTAATAATGGCGCTTTATTAAAAGTCTTTTGCGACTTGATCATTTCAAATAATTGTTAAAATTTTTTTATTTTGGCAAACATTAGCAACTGTTATCTATTATAATAGATTATTATATTTGATAATTTGTTATGGTTGGTTTGTTTATGAATGTTTTGATGACAAAGCATATCTGTATTCTCTAAAATCTTCCCAAATCTTCCTAAAAACTCTTCCGCAATAACCGTTATAAATCTTGATCTTTTCTTTTTACCACTTTCCACTGATAACACTGTCCTAAACTTCTTTTGTTTTTATCCCTAAGACACCACTATAATCCTCTTAACATTGATAGAATTCCCTAATTCTCTTTAATATCCTATTAATTTCCTATCTTCTTCCTATCATTTTATTAAAATAATGTAAATGAATAATGTATACTAACAGGTAGTAACATTTTATTTTTTTATTTTACTAGATTTTTCCCTGAAATTGTTTTCTTTCCTAATATCTAATACTAATACTATAGCACATTAAACTCAATAATTCTTCCATGAAAATATCATAAAATTTTTAAAAATTTTTCTCTAATCTATTATAGTGATTGCGGTGAGGCGGTGCACCATATTGAAGCCCTTGATATCCCATAAAACATGGTATTTCTTGTGAAAAAGTCCGTCTCTTACCTTTGATGTACCTGAAATCATATGCTATTCTTTCTTCATAATCTCTTAATAAACCCTTTAGCTTCATAAACCCTTTAGGACCCAGTTGTTGTCTTCTAACAACATTTATCTTCATTCTGTTACATGGTTGACCCGTCACACTTTACACTTTTACTGTGGTCATTGCTTCGGCTATATCTGCAAATTACAAAGTGAAATAATGTCAGGTGAAAGAGTGGTTTTGAAGATGGAGGATACTGATGGAGAATTATGTGGTTTTAATGGATATGAGGAAAGGCAGAATGGCCATTAAGAAAACATATTTCAATGTAGTTTTTCTATGTGACTAATATTTCTGCTAGTATTTGATATGTTATGCAGAAATATCTTGAATTTGGCTGTTTTTGGCTAAATATTGGCTCAAATAATCTTGGACAATTGTAGTAAATTTTAATATTTAGATAACTTTTTAATTTCACAATTTTTTAATATATTTTGTTTGGTTAATTATATATGGGGAAAGTAAATAAATGATTAGCGGTCCAAATTTTGATTAGGCTTGCTCCATTGATTCTTAGTACGAATTTTTGGCATTTGGAGATATAAGTTGTTTGCCAGTGCCATTTGGATTTTTTTCTGGATAGCGTGTCTACTCATTGGAAATCCGATCCAAAAGCTTGCCTTTCAACACGGTAATCACTGGTCCACTGAATTATCTTGCGCTTATATGAAAAAGTACTGCTGATACTTGTAATAAATGAATTTAACACTTTTATCCATCCTTATGCAATAGATTTTACTTTGGTTTAATTAGCTGATATTGAATTTATTCCCAATGGTTCTAATTCATGATAAAATTCTCTATAAAAACAAAATCCAAGTGTTTTATGTTTTCAAGTGACTATCTGGCGAAAAGATTGCATTCTGTAAGTCGGTATAATCAATCAAAGCAGAAGTGGTAAGTTATATTTGTGTAGAAGTGGTTATGTGCTATAGAGTATATTAACGTTGCCTCTTTTCATTGGCTATTAATGGGATGAGATAATTTTACGATGGGATCCTCAGTACCATCTGCATTTTTTGGTCACTTTACCACTTTTATTTTTTTCAGTGGCCTGTGTATTCCTGTTGGGAATATCTATTTTAAATTTTTAATAATAATAATAATGACAAATAAATTTTATTTTTGCAATCCCTATCGATTTTTTTTTATGCCCCAATATTCTTAAATGTGGTGGTCATATCTTTTCAAGAATAATTCTTTCTAATTTCAAATTCTTTTCGTATTTTTTTCATTGATTTTTTTTAGACGTTTCGTTCGCTCATAATAAATCTTTATGGAAGAGCCCACTGAATGAAATTAATGGGAATAATTGGATAATTTTTAGATAAAAATCGTTTATGGCATTATTTTGAATCATTATGGCAGTGCTTAATGGCTCATTTTCTCTAAATTAGTTAAATAAGTAGGATTTTTAATAATTTAGCAATTTTCAGGATTGCATCGCGGTGTCGATCTGTTCTCGCTGATTTCAGTCTTAGTTGTGATGATGTTTGTTTTTATTTTTGCATTTTGCATTTTAAATTGATATCTGCTAAAATATTTTAAATATAAATATAAATCCGTGGAGTTTATAGAGTCTATGAGTCGATTAAATTAAACAGATTCCATTTTAAATTGATTCGTATATATTGAAGATTTCGTATATTGAGAACTATTTTTAATATTTGATGCATTAACGTTATGTTTTCATTTTTATAAAGAGAGTTTAAGGTTTTTATTTTTATCAATATAGTCAAACGATAAAGTATTATTCCTTCTTATAAGTAAATGATAAGAAGTGATAAAGACATTTTAGTTCTAAACATTTATTAGTTATTCATAAATAGGCTTAGGTGAGGTGTTATCCATAATTGCTTGGAAGATCAGAACGCTTGTGGATATTGCAAGCCAAGCGATCGCTGTCAACACCCTTTCTAAATACCACGTGGATGTGGTTCGTTTGTCGTAGGTCAGGGTCTTCCTCATGTCGGCTCTCTCGAGTAATTATTAAACTTGGTTCCCTGTGAAAATAGGTGATTCGGGGCCTAATGGCGTAGCAATTGTCATGTCTGAAAAGGTTCGATCCATTCTGATTGAATGGAAGCCAGTAAATGACCATGTGGTCTATGCGCCTTTCTAGAGAAGTTCTGCAATATTTCGGTCATCAGTGTTTATGCTCCAAATACACAGAGCCCGATAAGGATAAATTCTGTGAGAAGCTTCAACTGTTGACAAGATCCCTACCGAGAGGTTACTTAGTCATAATCGAAGGAGACTGGAATGCGCGCATAGGTCATGATGCTGTTACGATGAATTCGGTAATTGGCAAATTTAGCATCGCGGTCCAATGCGCCAATGGAGAACGCCTTCTTCGTTTTGCTGAAGAGCATAAATTCTTTGTTAATAATACAATGCTTTCGGCATCGAAGAAAACATCCAGTCACTTGGAACTCTCCGGATAACCAGTCATATTGACTACATTTTGGTCAGTCATCACTGGAAGTTCTGTACTTGATAGTCGTTCTTACTTATCGGGGTGGTGAAACTGGTAACCATCGTGGATCAGGTTATATTATGGTTCAAACCAAGATTCTTATAATACTAACAAGTCGAACGAAATAATGTATCCCAAGATCTTTCAACTTCTCGAATTGAAAGATCCAGGAACAGTATTGTTGTAACACCTCAGTAAAATAAACATCAGTGACATCTCTGGAAAGGCGAATAAATACTAGTCCCAACTAAAGATATGCCTATAGAAGCCACCACTGCACTAGGGTATACAAGTAGGAAATGCGCCAGTTGGGTATCGGAAGCAGCTCTTCAACTGTATGGAAAAGCTGCCAATGCCCAATAGTCAGGAGTTCCTGACTATCGAGTGCTTCAAAGAATTACAACGACAGCAGCACGGCTGGACAAAAATCGCTAAATGAGAAAATTGGAGTTTCTTAATGAAGTTTTATAATATTTAATAATTATAATATTTAATAATTTAATAATATTTTTGCAACGAATCAAAATGTTGTCAGCCGAATATTTCAGTTTTAATATTTATTCCACATTTGGGTATTTATTTATATATTATATTACATATATATATATATATATACATTTTGAGTAATGAGAATTTTTTTTGCAAAATTTTCAATTTCAGTTGATTATTAAAATTAATTAAAATTAATTTAGTTAGTTAAAATTATTGCAGTTAATTAGTTGGAATTTTCGAGTTGAATTTCTCTAAAGATAATGAAGATTTTTTATAAAGAAAACAAAAAGGAATCCAGAGAAATCCAAAATTAGAATTAAGAATAAGTTTTGGTTCTTTGAGTTTTTTTCAAATTTTTTATTATTAGAAACATTTCTATTCTTCAAATAACAAAAAATGAAATTGTAAATTCAATGGTAAAGGTAAATTTAAGAAAATGCACTATGATTTATTAGATTTCACTGACCCGACATAAATGGAGATGGCGGCTCGGATGGCGTGATGATAGAAACTGTTTCAACTTCTTCATAAAACAGATATAACTCGAGAAGGAGTTAGTGAAATGTTACCGGGATGCGCCATCTGTTTTTTCGAATAAAACTGATTAGTCCGTCGAGCTTTTAATTCCTAAGAAAGGTGACAGGACGTACTACGACAATTATCGAGGAATCAGCCTACTGGATATCTCCGGAAAAATTTTTATTTCCTTTCTACTAACTAGGTTCATGGCAACACGAGATAGCAGAATGCATCCTAATTAAGCTGGATTTAAACCAAGACGCGACTGTGCTAACTAGATATTCACGTTAAGAAGGATATTGAAACATCGCTTTTGCAACCCACTGTCGCGTGTTTCATCGATTTTGCGATGCTGCCAATTGATAGAGCTATGGAGAGTGATGGAACATGACGGTGTTCCAGAGAAAATCATTCGACTCATAAAGGCATTTTATGAGCACATGTCGGTGCAGATCTGTGTATATGGGGAACCGACTCCTTCGAAATAAGAACTGGTGTCCTTCAGGGTCCGGTCCTTTCTCCTACAGTATTCATATAACTATGCGATAGACTGGATAATGGACACTTCTTCTCAGCACTCAAGAGGTGTCCGAATTAGTCCAGAGCATCGTATCACAGATCTTGAATACGCTGATGATGTAGTACTTTTTCTGATAGTTATGACGAAATGAAAGTAATGCTAAATAACATTTCAGAAACTGCAGCAAAGATCGGACTCAGGGTCAATGTAAACAAAACGAAAGTCTTTTCGTCTTATGTGCAAGATGCTG